CCATCTAAAATGAAGAATTTTAAAATATTATTTTGTCAAAAGTCCACCGACGTGCATACATACATATATACATATGTAAACTAGAACATTGAATTAGTAACTAAATGTACACAATTCTCGATAATATGTGAATACAATAAAGTTAAAAAATATTCATAAATCAAATAATTCTTCCGGAATGACCAAAACCATTGTTTCCAATTCGGAACTCATCTCTGCACCTAAAAAAATTTAGTACCGCATATATAATAATTAAATATAAATGTAAACATTATCAAAAGCATCAAGTATTTATCTGCATATTTTGAATAATTATTGCTCGCGAGCTAGCGAAGAACTCGACTTAAATTCTGATGAAACTATTTTAAAGCATTTTCTACTTTGTATTTGAAATTATTTCTAATGAACTTGTGAAATGAGCAGCACTTAACTCAAGTGACCTCTTCAACTAGTTGCTTTTTCTCATGTTCCTTTACTGATATGTACTCTTTGATGTCAACTTTTTTAGGCCTCTTCTTTTTCGATACGCCGTGATTTATATTCATAAGTGTTGATGTTTGTTAAATTTTCCTAAATGACTATCAGTTACACAAATAAAAAGAACAACATACGTATACAGTGGCGGTCAAAGTAATAGCAGCAAAATTCAAAATGATGCTGTTGGCAACGTATATATATTTATTTATTGTTAATAATTTATTTAAAATATGGGTCAATCTACATACATATATCAGATACCACATAAATAAAAGTTTCGAAAGTTGCGCAAAGATCACAAAAACTAATAATTAATTAGATTTTCCAAAAAGAGATTTCGAATATGCAATTACGGTTAATTTTTTTTAGAATTTTTTTGTGGAGGGTGTTGCGCTTTTTCTTCCATATAAAAGTAAGTTTTGTTCATGCGTTATATGGAAGAAGTTGAAACTTGTACACTAAAATAAAATAGGCTATAAAACTGCATACTCGAAATCTTTGCACGAAATCTAATTAGGAAACATCGATATTTTAGTGAAATTTTTTTAAGTTTAATTAGTTTTTGTGAACTTTGTACAAGCTTCGAAACATTTATTTATGTGGTATCTAATATAGATCGACCCATATTTTAAATGAAAATTATTACCAATAAAGGTAAGTTGCCAACAGCATCATTTTCAGTTTTTCTGCTATTGTATTGACCGCCACTGTATACCTTAAAATATTTTGTGCATTTTCTGTGAAGATAAAAGTTTTGAAAGTAAGAAAGAAAAAATATAAATTTTTTATAATGCATTTGTGTATAGTGTATGTAAGTCTTTATTTATGAATGTCTGTCTATGTATGTATGTATGTAATGTATGTATGTATGTATTTATTAGTCTCCTCTTGCAATTTGCAATTCCTCGATACTGTGCGTTTACTTTAAAACTTCTCGGTTAGTCGTTTGATTGCTTTTGCTTGAAATTATATTTTATTTCTATATATCTTTTTTTTTTTGTTTATATTCGTGTTCGCTGCTTAAATACTATTACCATTAAAAAAAACAACTTTGAGTGAATGCTTAGCACCCTAGAAAAATTTCTATCAATACAAAGTGTTAAAATATTACCACAACCGAGTTAAGGACGGAAAACTCAAGTGATACCAAAATTTAGGCTTTCCTCAACTCGGCTACGGGCTTTATTCCTTTTTCGACAATTAATTTTGCACTCTCGCCGCTGCCTTTAAGCGCTTTGTGCTAACATTACAGCCTATAACCATTGCTAGCGCCTCCGCCTCCGCCGCCACCTCCAGTACTTGCACCATTGCTGCTACTGCTGCTAACAGCACTGCCGTGCGAAGTGGATGCCGCTGTCGTCGTCGTCATCGCAGTGGATGTCGCCGCCGCCGCTGCTGCTGCTTCTTGCATAGCTTTCTGTTTGGCTCTTCGCGCTTTTTGCCGTGTATGTTCGATTTGAAAGTCTTCCACGCGCAAATTTAGCCTTTGTATATTATTGATAATGAACTCCTCCTCGAGCACATGCTCTGGTGGTGAGCGTAGCACCTCTAATGTTTCGCAAAGACCAGTACATTGTTTACGAACCTTATGTTGATTCAGCGAAGCACCAATTATCACTAGTGCTACTTTGAAAATTACACGTATGCCTTCGGCTAGAAAGCAATCCCAGACGCGTAACAATGTTTCCCAAGGTAGTGTACGTGTCATCGCGCATAGAAACCAATCGGTCATGTACAGTAAGGGTTCGACTTTGTGTTTTTGCAGGTGACGATAAGCGGGCGGACAGGTTTTCTTGAGGAGCCCTTCCAGTATGCCAGCATCGTTTTGCAGCACCTCAAGACCAGTTATGAAATAATCCTCTAGGTAGCTGTAGGGATGAAGTGCAGTTTTAAAAAGATTGTATTTTTTATGGTTTGAGAACAAAAATACATAGTCGCTTGCTTTTATTGCTGTGATAGCATGAAATAGTTCCTACAACTCTGTGAAATGTTGCTAATTGGAGGAAATAAATGCTACGACAACAAAGGCCAGTACCTTTTCCAAACAACAAAAAAATGTTAAGAAAATCACAATTTTTAAGAATATTTTAAATTTATAAAAAATATGGTTTGCTTTAGTTTAATTGATTTTTAAAAGAAAATATTGAGATAAGTTGCATAGAAATATAAAAATTTGCAGTTTGTTTTGCCTACTTCTATGACCAAATTTTAATTTGTAACCCTTTTTATTTTTAGTGCGTTTCATGCAGTCAAAACAGAAACAATTTCTCAACTAATTAGACATTTTAAAATCCATTCTTAGTTTCTCGCGTATCAAATATAAAGAAATCTCCTAGTCTTTTACATAAATTTGATTTTGTTTGTTTTCATATAAAGAAAAACTCAACTTACACATCACAAACGCTAACGAATACCCAAAATGCATCTTCGGCCGGCAGGTGCATAAGCAGGAAAGCAGCTATCGGCGCTTGCGCCTGACAAAAGCCCACTTTCGGATTATAGATTGAATACGCTTTTAATACATTAAACAATTCGATTTGGCCCACTTTATCCTCGTCCAGAAACATTTCATGAAAAGGAAATTGACGATGTTTATCCTTTTTGATTTCTTCGATGACATGTGGATTACCGGGCTGTTCGAGCAATTCTTTATAGACAGTGGGATTTTTCTTTTTTAGCAAATAAGCGCCAGATAAATAAAACCAAGCACGTGGACGCACCGATTTTGGTATGCCTTTGCGACAGCGATCACGAATCTATAAAAATAATTCCACATTAAAAAAGATGTACGAACATGTGCATGTATTAGTATGTAAATAGTTTTAAATACCTTTTTGTAGTTTTTGGACATATAAAGCGACCAATTATCAATCATATATAACCATTTCTTTTCTCGCGCAATAATTTGCGCCTTGGAGAGTGGTTCTTTAGGCTTTTCTGTGCGCTGAAAACCACCGTAAAAGCCATTGCGATCTGGGCAACTGGAAACGGTGGAACAAAGTGATATAGTGTCGACGGAGCGTGGTGATGTGGCCATTACAAGCTGAAAATAATGTAACAATTTTAAATTAATATGTACTTAGGTATAAGAGAATTTAATTACAAAAATTCATTAACTGAATATGTTATGAAATGCATTCAAAATTAAAAAAAAAAAACAACCAAGGAATGCTACCGAGAATTTCCATGTTTATATGTATGTACCATTGCAGAAGCCTCGGTTAATTATAGCAGACGTGCAACATGCACGCAAATAAGTTCAAGTATAGAAATAAATCAAAACAGCCATTCAAAATTTGATTCAATTATGTACACATATCAATATGTCTGTATGTTGATTTGCATAGATACATGAAAATGTAAATCTATGATTGTGGAGCCTATGTACCTCCCACTGCTGATGTTGCAGCGATACATTTATTTACGCAAGACGCAAAATAAGCGAACATAGAGGGAGAAAGAGAGAGTGCGGAACGGTTATTATAGGACGTGAGAATTATGTAAAATTTGTATATTCTTTTCAATTATTTTACCAGTAAATTGTTTAAATGTCGATGCCTTCCCCTCACAACAAAAAAAAAAACTATTGTCCTTTTAATGCAAACTCGTAAGATAGTTATTTTTAATAAAATGCTGACGCTTATCAAATTGGGCGGTAAAATTCGAATGCAAATACACACTGAGTTTTCGAATTTGTAAATGTACATACATACATACATATTCATATGTCTGTATGTACATATGTAGTAATTGCAAAGTGCATTAGTTCCGACAAGACAAGTGCCTCCTCCTTATTTGAATGTCATTTTAGAGACATAAAAGGAAACTTGTGGTTGCTTTAATTGTTTTTAAAGCATGGCCGCGTTGAATATTAATAACTTTTTATTTTGGCATTGATGTAACGTCGAAGTTGGCGCAATATGTATTGCGAAAGTCGGAAGGCCAGAGAAATAAAAATACGTTAAAGAAATAATTTTAAATCATTTTTTAAATTCCAATTCTAAAAAAATTGTTTACATTTTTTATCGAATGAATAGTATTTATTTACGGTCACAACGGATATATTAATCAAGCGAGTGGTGCTTAAGTATACTTTAATTATGAATGTTCATACATACAAACATAAATATATACATATGCATAACATAAATATGTATGCATATGTATGTATGTACATATGTATATGTATATATATACATCCACATAATTATGAAAATAAAGTTACGATTCTCTTCTGCAATTCATCTGACTGGCAAGGCAGACAAAACTATTCCAACTAGGGACCATTTTGTTGTGACTGCAGGGGAATTTTAACTAGACTAGCTTAGAGCGAATAGTTTTATAGGCGATTATAGAGTCGGAGTTGGCACAAACCGCATGCACATACATACAAACATATATGAACA